TACTCTAGAGTAGTCTATATCGAGTTTTAATAAAAATGAATAATGCTCTTTTTACGGTCCTCGAGTGTATACTCGCTGCCATATCACTTTCCTCCTATACGCTTATCACACATACTAGTGGTGGGGGAAGGGGGGCGGGTCTCAACAATCAATAAAAGTCAAGCTACCCCCATCCCATCCCATCTACCCCTTCACCTTCCCAGCCCACCACTCTCCCCACCCTAGCACCTTCCCATCCCTCCTCGCCTCCTCCGCCGCAAACACAGTCGCATGACTCTTCAGCGCCTCCTCAAACGTACAACCCACAATCTCCCTCTGCGCTCTCGCAACCTCCCACCCCAAACTATCCACAGCCTCCACAGCCTTCACATACGCTCTCGCAAGCCCATAATCACCACCGCCATGCGCCTCCGTTTCTTCGGGGGGAACCTCAGGAATTTGCACGACGGTCGTCTCGCCGCTGCCGAAATTGTAGATGCTTATTGTTTTGCTGTCGTAGGTTAGCTCGCCTAGGGTGCCGTAGACACGTCCGCGGCGCTCGCATTGGGACTCTGTCGCGGCGACCATGTGGAGGGTGGCGGTCTTGGCACCGCGGCCGCGTAGGCGTGCGTGTATGTCCATGCCGTCAGTGGTGGTTGTGGTGGTGGTCTCTGGCAGGGGATCATCGTCCCAGGACAAGGTGACGACCTGGTCCTCGAGGACGTTGTTGTCGGCTTCATATACACAGCGGCCAAACCAGGGGCGTGCGGCGATGGTAGCTGCTGGCGTGGTAGTTTTGTCGTAGTCCTCTGCGAGAGCTCTCAGGAGCAGCGATTCCGCTGCAGCCATACCGGATGTCCTGAAGGTGTCTTCAATATCTGGGCAGACGATTTTGATGGGCCACCCTGTTAGTCCTTTGGAGAGGAAGCGGTCCTTGTAGATCTTGAGGGCGCTATAAATACAGTCTTTCTCTGCGGGGCAGGAGAGGCAGTTCGTCGCGTTGCCGGCGGCGATGGGCTTGCGCGATTGGCGGAATTGGGTGAGGGAGCCTATGGAGGTGATTGATTGTGGGGAGTGGTGTGGATGGTCGAAAGTGGTTCCCGGTGCCGGGTAGCAAAGGAGCCAGAGGATAAAGTCGATGTCGTGCGAGCATTTTGTGAGCAAGCTGCCGTCGCCGTTTGCGGTCTCGCGGCGCCAGTTACCACGTACGAAGCTGTGGGAGAAATGATACCAACCCACCGGCTCCGTGTGTTCCAGAGAAGTGATCTCGCCGATAATCCTATCCTCCAGCAGCAGCTTACGCAGAATCGTGTTGTGCGGGCTATACCGTAAGACATGGCCGATCGAGAAGATTTTCGACTCGAGACAATTGTTTTCCTTGAGCGCGCGAGAGATAGCGAGGCAGTCCTGCAGAGATGTAGCTAAGGGCTTCTCGCAGAGTATGTGCAGGTTCAGAGGCGCAATGGCAAGGAGGATCTCCACATGCGTCTCGTCTAGGGTGCAGATGAACACCCCATCCACCCCCGTAGCCTGCCCCCCTTCCCCGTTGCGCCGCGCTTTCTCCCACTGCAGCCATTCCTTCCAGTCTGCAAACTCCTGACCTTCGGTTGGTGATCCACTGCCCCAGATATAGATCCTCCCAAACTCCTGGCGCTTAAAGGCATCCGGCTCCGCTATGGCATGGATGACACCGTTGGTTGAGTTTGTGACGGCGCGAGCGTACGCGTTTCCCCGAGATCCGGCACCGATTACCAGGAATTTGGGTGATTTCACCGTGCGGGTCCTGGAGGATTCATTAGACGTACCCATGGCAGGAGGTTTGATGGATGGAGAATTCCAAGCAAAAGTAACCAGGACAGGTTTGCAAGGGTTTCAAGGCCATGTAAGAATGAGGTTTCTCAAGTGTAGTGAATGGCAAGGAGTTAGTTAATTCGGAGGAGAGGAAGTTAATCATCCCAAAGACAACACAATCAAGTGCGTTCCTTATATGTAACGCAACTGCCTGGCAGGCATGTCTTTCTCCACAGAACACCCACAAACAAGCAATGCATCACTTTGCGGGGTAAGTAGAATCCAACCTTGTAATCAGCCAGCTCTGATTGATGGATGAAGCGATCGAGGGGGCATGGACTAGGGCTAAAACGTGCGCAGGCAGATCCATTACTCCGTACAGAATCCAGCGTCACCGCACCAGCTGGTACTAAGCGGAAAATCGTATAGGTGGATGTAACACTGAGTCCACAAAAACTACGAGGTTCAGAGCTGAACCTATGTAAGGTTGGAAGGTTGGACGGAGCGGAGGAGTGGAATTGCCGTGCTGTGATTGGCGTATATCTCCAGCCAATGATATTTATCCATTACACGTGACCGGTGTTACATGGTAACTATAAATAGAAAAATAGCACTGGAGAACAAGCCTAAGCGCCCGCCAAGATTAAACGCCCGCATCACCAGGCACTTGAAACACATCTGCAGTTGTTTGAGAGACTTGACCAGCGCGTATAAGTGAGTAAATAAATAATGATGCAGGGCATAGCTATTATTATTGATCTGCTTTGCATAAGGTTATTCTGCATGATTTTCCGGGAGCTAAGTGAAGAAAGGCTGCAAAATCTAAATATGTGACTGATGATCGAACCGATGGGCTAGACCCACGTTTCTTTTTATTCTAAGTTGGTCTGCTTTGGAGTGACAGACAGCTAGCTAGCTAGCTAGCTGTCTTCTTTTCCGCTTCTGGGCTCTATGTGAAGATGTAGATGTATAGGAGTAATAAACAAATGTATTTTCTAGGAACAGGGCCTATGTATGTAATGTACAGTACAATACAATGGTCCAAAGTAATGGAAGAATATGCCAGAGAGATTAATGAAGAGATAATAAAACAGATGTTGAATGTTGAATAGAATGGTTCGGCCCCTTAACTACCAGTATAAAGCTGGTGGTTATTGAGCTCTTTTGCCCCAGTGTCCTTCAACAGAGAAGAAAATGTATAATAAAAGATGAAAATAAACATATATCACCCATCACTCAATTGATTGGTGGTTATGGTGGTGACAGACATCTAAGACGGACGAGAAGAAAACTATAAGAAATGAACCATGAGAAACGGGTAGTTTATAGAAGGAAAATAAAAGATAAAACAGAAGGCAAGAAGCGAAAAAATTGAAAGAACAGAAACATAAAAATAAACTAGGGAAATATATAAAACACATCAACACCAAACACCAAGAAGTGATCCTAAATATGTACATGTATAGAAAAGAAAGAAGAAAAAAAAAAGACCCCATTTCCCCCCAATTAAGTAAGTATCAAACAAACCGATCACAAATACCAAAAACCTAGTAAAAAATAAAATAAAAAGCAAAACGCCCCAATCATACATTACTTCATTACTCATCACACATGGAAACCACTATTTATGCCATTTCTTCCCCTTTCCCACCCCTCCCTTCACGCCACCATTCTGCTGATGGGCTTTCGCCCGACTCCCTACTACCCCACCTCCCTCCCGCCGATGCCACGGATCCTGCGGCCACACCCACCCGCGCACCCTCTTCGCATCGCGCTTCTCCCCGGTCTGTGGCTCTGGGATCCATTTGTCTTTCCCCTCTGGCAGGACGTGTTGGCGGGTGAGGGTGCCGTGGCCGCCGACGTTGAGGTAGCCGTGGGGTTGGGAGGGGAGGGCTTCGGCTTTGGAGAGGAGGACAAGATAGTAGAGAGCTAGGGTTGCGGTGAGAGGGGTTGAGGAGGACGAGGAAGCTGAGGAGAAGGACGAGAAGGAGGATGGTGGGGTGGGTGAGCGGGAGGGAGTTGGGGAGTAGTCAGATGATTGGGCGGAGGAGGAGCGATGGGAGTGGGAGCGAGTCATTGATGGTTGTTGTTGTTGGTGGGTGGGTGGGCAATAAGATTCCGATGAAAGGTTTGTCATTATTGGCGGGGCGACTTGCAGATAGCCGAAGTAGGGTATGTCGGTGGAATCGTCGCAACCTGCGCGGACGCAGACGAGCTCAATTTCAGTAATAATGAAGCCGTAGCGACAAGAGTGCTCGCGCATGCAGCGTTGGAGGTGTGCGAGGCCATTCAGGTACTCGACACGCTTGTGCGGTGGTTCCTGGCGCATCCCGCTGTTCCAGCAGTTGAAGCTCTTCACCAGGCCGACGAGGCGGCCGCGTTGGCTGCCAGAAGCTGTGCGTTGGATGTCTGTGGCATAGTTGGCGATAAAGTGGGGGCCGCTGTTGCTGCGGTTTCCTGTGAGGAAGGCTTCTGCTGTTGGTCTGAGGAATAGACCGTTGCCGATGGAGGTTTGAATGGCGGCGTTTACGCGTGGGGCGTAGATGTCGCGGATTAACTCGGACAGAGCCCCTTCAGAGCTGGGGGAGAGGCGCGATGGGGTGACAGTTGATAATGGATGGTGGTCTTGGGAGACTTGGGTGGTGAGGAGCGCGGTCAATTTTGGGATAGAGTGGATTGTAGATAGAGAGAAGCTGGACCAACTTCGCAGGTTTCGGATATCCCACCAGAAATGATGTTGCTGTCCACGGCCCACGGGCACTCTTACATGCTGCACTAGGTTGATGGCCTGCGTTGGTTCTGTTAGGTATTTAAGGAGTGTGGTGGAAAGCTCCAGGTCATCAGAGTCTGAGTAAGGGGGAGTAGTCACGGTGGCAGCAGGGATCGGTGGACCCAGGGTTGTAACTGGAGTTTCAGCATAGTAGGCAGGCTGGAGCAATGGGGATGGCTCTGGGTGAGTAACTGGTTCATTCAGCGGTAGATAAGATGAGAATAGAAAGGATGTTGCTGAAACTGGAGTTGTCGGGCTGCATTGGGTCACATATCTTGGGTACTGTCGGTAGGTTGGGTATCCATAGCGGGCCCAAGTTGCCTCATCAATGCTGCTAGTGGATGTTGAACGAGAATGTCCACCTGCAAGCCGTGTATGAGATGGGGTCAGAGTTACTGGTGAAGAGAGAGTTGTTGAAGGGGCCCGATGGCCCAGCATAGAAGAAGTCGAAATCGGCGAGATAAGGGAGCAGTCGATTGGCGAGGTCAAAGATCCACGCATCTGAGATCGACTAGCTGGGTAGGGTGAGTACGCGTTGGATTTGCGGACAGTGGACTGGCCCTTGCGGTGACGAATGGGTCCACTCGAGGATACCGGTTCAACCACAAGATCCTGAGGTCTGATCTTTGGGAGGAGAGCCGGTCCATGCTGGCGGATGACCGGTGACAAACTCGGAGTAGTGAGGTTGGTGCCAGCAGAATCCGGCGACGAGTTATTAGAGGAACTCGAGTCTGCACGGGCATGTGTATGATGATTACCAGCATATTGGCTAGTGGTCATCATAGGGGGAGGCGTTGATGGCCTGAGGTAATATAGTTCCGACGACATTATTTCTGCGGCATTGCGTCAGGGGTAAAGGCCAGATCAATTTTTTTTTCTTTTTTCCTTTTTTTCTTTTTCTTTTTTTTCTTTCCGGATGGTGGGGGTTGGTAGCGGGGTTCAACATACTCTATGCGAAAAAAAAGGGGATCAAGTTGATACAACAAAACTTGCTTGCCCTGAGCGGAGTAAAACTGCAGGAGATGTTCCTCGCAAGCAAAGACGAAACAAGCAAGGAGCTCAAGTTTTAAATTGGTATATATTTAACTTGAGGAGCACATTGGGAACAGGATATAGTAGAGGTATAGAATGAGGAGAGGCTAAAGAAAGGAAAAGCCAATAAGCAGCAAGAACAAATGTCGAGCTCAAGATAGTCGAGACAATTAAAAGAAGGATTGATTGATCATTATTGAATGACTGATTGAATATTTCTTTAGAAGAGGTTGGAGAGAGGATTGGGTTGGGTATTAAATCCTCTCTCAAACAGACGTGTCGCGACAAGGGAGTAAACGCATCCATCATATCGCACAGAAGCAATCCAGATGAAGCAACATGAAACAAAGCTACATGGCGTCAAAAAATCCATAATAGGAAACATAGTTCTAAAAGAGGAAGATAAAAATAAAATAAAACGACAGGCATCGCATCGCGCCTAAGGGGTTTGTTTGGGAATGGCATATTTTCTTTTTCGGCCATTCCAGTGGGGAGAGCTCGCGCGGGTCCTGAGGAACAAGGACGCGCAGGGGGGAAGGTATTGGAGGGCGGGGCGGCAAGGGGGATGGGGATGGGGATGGCGTAACGCGAAGGGAGGGGCAAAAGGGAAGAAGCTTCGTGTATCAGGTTGATCGCGATAAGCTATTATGACTGCATAGTTACTGAATAATGAATTATTATTGAGGGAGCTGTTATATTTGGCAGCATATCGAAGCTATTTCCGGCAACACGGCGGTTGTTGAGACTGGAGCAATCTCCAAGCGCCAGAGCAGAGGTTGAGGTGGGGACGGACAAGCAAAACTTGGACAAGAAAGGGCAGAGAACAGACAGAATAGAAGCAGGCGAAAAGAGACCAGAAAGAGACCAGAGAAAGAGGGAGAGACGCGCCGCGATTGTTTCGCAGTGTTCTATTTCCAGTGCCCGGGGGGAGGGGGGGGGGGGTGAGAAGGAAACTGGGAGAAAAGTTGGGACAAGGCGGCGGACTGCGATGCCCATTGGGTGGTGACAGTGGTGGGATGGGATGCCCAAGTTGTGTCCAAATACTGGGCAACAGAATGCAAAATGGGGGGTCCTTTTCTGCAGTTCCAGACTTCCAGTTGGCGCCCACGAAGGGGACTCTAATTATTCAGTTCCCGTTGTCCAGTTATGCCCCAGTGTTGGCCCGTTGCGGTCATGATTTGCCTGTGTTGCTGCAAGTGCCGGGCGACAAAGCCAGCGAGATCACAGCGGCAAGCACGCTGACTGGTTCCATCGACGTCTCACCAACTGTGCTCTGCCAGTTGGGACGGCGCTACCAGACCCTTAAAGCCTTGGAAGACGCCCATGACCCCCAAAGTGTCAAGAGACCAGCGCGTCTGCTGCAGAAGCCGGCGTTGAGGACAGTTGGTTGGTTGACCAGCGACGGGGGAGCAGACGTTAAAAACGCGTGATTCATCCCAGCCCTAGCCCTAACCTGCCTGATCGGGCGCTGTCAAGGGAACCTGGGGTATGAATTCCTTGAAACTTGAAACGAAACAGAACTTCCCATGAAAACAACTTGAAACATCTGTTCACCTGGCTCGCGCGCGGCATGGGAACATCCTGACCGACTGACGCGACGTGAGAGCTTAGCTAGCTGCTGACATCCTCTTTTTGCTTGCTTTTCTCTCACCGTCTCCAGTCTGTTGCACGTCGAACGCTTTTCCAGCGCGTCAGCCAGTTCTATTGGTTAAGGTCGCTGTTTCGCTCCCTTGAGAAACATGTTTCATCTCTGTCGAAACTCCTGAATCGGCCATCATCAGTGACTCATATCCTGTGCAACAGTGCAAGCAAAAAAGAAGAAGAGGCTTTTCAATTCTTTGGTGGTAATCTGTCTATCTGCTGTCAGCGTATTAGCATAGAGCATTCATTCAGCAGATGATCATGGAGTTCATCGCGTCCTCAACTTTTGGCTGCGCGCCCCCTCCCCGTCCTCTCACAGCGCATCCTGAGACGAGTTTCAGGATTTTGGCTGGGATGGGATATCAAGTTCAGCGGCGTGGTAGGCTGCAGAGAGAGAAAAGATCCCAAGTGACGTACGGACACCCAATGCACCCCCCCAGGAAGCGGTCAAGAAGGGATGTGTTTGTTTACTCTACGCCAAGCGATGGGAAGACGAGACACATCCGTGGACAACGACTTCTTCAGGAATATGTTGTAGTCAGAAACTGTTCCGCTCAGGACCAGGAAATGAAGGCACAGAATTCACGCGTCCATCACAGAATCTCGATGTCTATTATCTATCTATTCTACGTCTTCTGCTACAGTGGATAAAATTTAGCTGACATTATGTTCACAATGAGATTGCAACCGTACCATCCCATCCCCCTGGTATCTCCTCACTTCGTCCTTCGACATCATCCAATATCAACACCCCAGTTTTCGCTCATGCACGTCATGTTTTCTTCTTTTGTCATGGACTGGAAGAAGACGTAAAAGACAGAAGAAAGGCGTTCGAAGTTCAAAGAAGGAAAAAACCAAAATGAAGCAAGAAGAAAATAAGAGAGGATAGAAAGCAAGAGCATATGTGAAAATTTCCTAGTACTAACTAATTTTATTTCCTTTTCCGCGCCGCTCTATCGTGCTTCTGGTTGAAAAGAAACGTTTGGAAATATAGTTTGTTAGCTATTATTTTCTCCGCAAAGTTCTAATCAAGAAGCAAAAGGGGAAGACCTAAAATAGGGATAACGATAACGAAAAGGGAACAACAAGGACGAAGTAGATAAAGCAGGAAAAAAAGAAGAAAAAAATCTATCTCTGGGGAATTTTTTTTCTTTTCGTGCAAGATTATTATAAAAAGGGGAAACAGAAGAGGATCATGGATTCATGGATGGATTTGAGGGGAGAAAAAAAAGGCACAGAACAGATATAAAATGCGATTTCAATTCCCCCCTCCATTCATCCTCATCCTCATTATTCCTCGTCTTCAATCATCCGTCATTTCCATTCCCATATCCCTGCGTACTAGTTACCCCGTTCCTTTTCCCTTCCCGAGGTAAAATAATTATTATATATGAAAATGAAAGCAAAAGAAAAAAAAAAAAAAAATCAATTTAAAAAAAAAGGGAGGCAAAAAAAGGAGGCAAAAAGTAAGAAAAGAAAAAGAAAAAAGAGGAAAGCTATGTGATGATCCTCTTTTTATCAAACTCGAACCATTCTCCATCTTCGCTTCATGAAAAAAATGCATCACGCATGAGTAGGTAGGTATATAGGCATGCAAAGGGTATGTATATGTATGCTATTCTATGCCTTGATCTGGTACTCGCGTCGGAACATATCGTCCACTTTGGTCAGGTAGTAGGTTCCTGGCGCGATGGTGTCGACGCTTCCGGCGGGGACGAAATCTTTCTTCAGATGAGCATGTTCGCGGAGGAGACACATCTGTTCGTTTGTTAAAGTTGGTTAGCCTTCTTGTTATTTCAAAAGTTTTGCAGGTAGTTGTAAAAGACAAGAAGAATGGCATTTATCCCACTCACCTCATCATACACCTCCGGAGCAACAGTCCGCCTCGCCGCAAGCCTCTTTTTCAAATCAATCTTCTCCACAATCCCCGAAACATCGCCAACAACCTTCACGCTGAACATCGAACTCGCCAGCCCGCTGCCGTAGCTGAAAATCCCAATCCGCTTCTGCTGCTCCGCCGCGTTCTCGAACGAGGCGTTCGTCAACAAGCTAACTAGACCACCGTAGACGCTGGCACAGTACATGTTGCCGCACATGGTGGGTACCTCGATGGAGGGCTGCACGCGCTCATTGAAGCGCTTCTTGCTCAGCGCCATGAATGTCTTCTCGACGGTCCGGTCGCTGAGGGAGGCATCGTACTCCAGATCTCGAAGCTCGGCGGGGACTTCTGCGAAGGCGGGGTGGGCTGGGTCGGCGAGGTAGTCGTTGTACAGCATGCGGGCGTAGGACTTGGCGACGAGCTTGCAGGTTGGGGCGTGAAAGAGAACGTGGTCAAATCGGTCCAGGGGGGTCTTGGTGTCGTCTGTGGTTGCGGCGGGGGTGGATTCGCCGTTGCTGGCGATGGTGCCATTTACTATACTGCCGTTTTGTTGTGCCTTAGCTTGCAAAAATTTTTCTTTGGCATTGTAGGCCTTGTAGCAGGCGTCGACAGCTTGTGTGTAGCATTTGATGGAGTAGTGGCCATCCACGTAAGGGTATTCGCTGGTCAGGTCTGGCTTGTAGAAATCGTATGCGTGGGTGATGTGGGAGCCGCGGAGACCTGGCTCGAAGACGATGGGCGCATCGGGCCCGATGAGCATGGCAATGCAGCCAGCGCCGCCGGTTGGGCGGGCAGCGCCCTTCTTATACAGCGCGATGTCGCCAGTAACCACAATGGCGTCTCTGCCGTCCCAAGCGGATGATTCCACCCAGTTTACCGAGTTGAATACCGCATTGGTACCCCCGTAGCATGCGTTTACGGTGTCAACGCCCTCGACGTTTGTGTTTCCCGATTCCGTGAATAGCTGCATCAATACGGATTTGACGGACTTGGATTTATCGAGGATAGTTTCTGTCCCGACCTCGAGTCTGCCGATATTCTTCGGGTCGATCGAATACTTGCGGAGGAGGGAGGAGAGAGTGGTAAGGGCCATGGAGTAGATATCTATTGTTCCACACACATATATTGTTCAGCAAAACGGACGGGTTCACATAGTGGTGTTCAGGACCAAAGGATGGGGCTTTCTTTTTCTCTTTTCTTCTTTTTTGCTCATACCTTCTCGATCATCGCAGAAGCTCATCTTCGTCTGGCCAAGGCCAATGGTGTATTTGCCCTGACTGACGCCATCGAACTTTTCGAGTTCGGCTTGATCGACGCACTGATATGATCACGCCGCGACGTGACCCCTATTAGCCACTATTCTTCGGGTTTTCAAGCTTGCTGGTTGGCAGATTTCGAGAATAGACTTACCTGAGATGGGAAATAAATCTCAATGGCCTTGATGCCGATATTCTGAGCGCGAGAAGACATGTTTACTTGCGAGGTATCGATTTAAAGGGGGGGGGAGCACAAAATGTAACAGTGAATTTTGGTATTATTTAGGATTGAAGATATCCAGAGGGAGGAGGTTGGGAGAGGTGGAAGCGGAGAATGCTGAGGGTAGTCAAAGACGGTTGTGCAAGCACTCGTAAACTAATCCGCTCTGGTATCTTTTGAGTTAGAGATTGCTTCGATAAATAACGGACAATAATAAGAAGCTCTGGTCTGGGAATCAGGGGTTGTGTTGGTGTGCGGGTGCTGAGCACTTGCGAGCTTGTTGACGTGCGCGAGGGATTTCGGTGGTGTCGCATTGGATCGCCAAGCGAAGATCAATTGTGCTGCTTGGCCTGAATAATAAGGGGCGAAAAAAGAGAGTTCCCAACACACACCTATTATTGTCTATCTATGGGGAAAACACCGCAGAACTCTATGTGTTTAGCTTTTCTGGACAAGACAATGCAACGCAAAAATATACGCTGTATATGGATAGTTATGGAGGAGTGTGTAACAGCGCAGAGAAAATGGGGGGACGGCGAGATATATAGTGGCTGCCAAGGGTGTCTGTCTGTCTGTCACTTTGCTGTCTCTGGGGCGGACCACGATAGGAGGGACGTACGGATTATGGATACTTCTGTACTGTAAAGTAATAATTGCAAATAATTGCTTCATTCGAACCCTCCTCCTGATCCATCCTGAGCGGTGGATATGGTTGCATGTCGGTCGGTTGGATGCTCAGGGCCAACAGCTGAGCTAGGACTAGGGCCGCGATGGTATAACAAGCCACACCACACACCGCAACCACGACTTGCGCTGGCGTCCATGTACGTACACCGACAGCAGAACGACACTACTCTCACTCCCAGTCGACATTATGATTTATTATTATTACCAAGGCCCTGCTACATACAACAAACAGCTCAAGCATTGGAACTCCAGCAGTAATTTCTAGCCCACCATCACTCTCGTTTTGCAGTGCTGCGCAGTAACCGGCTTACAATACAATACGTCCTTATCAATCGAACGGTAATAGTCGTATCGTATCGTACCATCCATACCACTCCCGATAATTCCCCTCAACAGGCACAAATCCACCCGGAAATTGAATTTTTTGGTTCCATACTGCGGTCGCCTCTTCTTATCTGATCTTCCGACACCGGGTTCTATTGTTCCGCCCCCTTCCTACTTCCATTATTATTATTATTATTATTATTATTATTGAAGGTTCCACCTTCGCCGGCACCGATTTTGGGGACTTTGCGTACAGTCCCTAGATTGTTTGGTGGCGTGGGCGTGGTTTGTTCCTGGTATCAGGGCTGTACCGGTAACGATTAAATCTGACAGCCAAGACTTCTTTGCTTTTTTCACCCGGTTTCCCCCCCCCCCCGCGCCAGAGCAGCTTCAATTAAGCAATTGATAGTGTGACGGTCAATAAATAAATAAGTGGGTTCCTTATTTTCGATTGCCCTCCCAGAAAGAAATCTTGTAGCCTAAACAGGCAACGACTTTTTCCCGTTTTCCCTTTTTCAAGGGTTTATAGTTCTCTTGCCGGAGCGATTTACCACAACTACTCTGGCTGCTCCGACAGTAAATCCTCGGTTTCAGCTTGTTTCCATGCATCCTTCCTTGCACTTCCGCCGCAGAGCTTTTGTCAACCACTCCAGTTTCAGGTACCAAGCTCCACTTCGTCGGTATTTCTTGCATCCTGCCGCTGCAAGGGACCGGAGCTGCCCAACCTGCACTAATAGCTCGAGACCAAGGGCCGGGTAGGTTTATGCAGTTGCCTGGTTATTGTGATTATTATTTGCAGTGTGTTTGTGTTCAGTATTGGGCTTTTCTGAGGAGTCCTTCGGGGCCTTCAAACTAGTTGAGTTTCACTTTTGATGTTTATTTTGCTCCTGCCATATGACATGCGGGATTGGTGAGGAAGGCTTTGGAAGGCAAACCATGTGGATAACTAAACAGTAGATTTGAGCCAATAATGCATTGGCTAAGGTGTTTATGGAATTGATTGACGTCTACCTCAGACATCATTAACCCTGGCCTCAGAAATGAACCCCAAGTCGCCCAAAATCATGGAGATTTGGAAGCACTCTGACAGAATTTCTTTTCCCTTGGGACTTCTTTCTGCTCCTGCCAAAACTGACTCGACAAAGCAATGCGCCCGAGCTGGGTTGGAACATAATTGTGACTCAGGCGATAGCCTTAGGCGAAGCAGAGCGCTGCATTTCTAGCATGTATCCTCTCTGCGGTGTATATAGACCAGGCAGCAATAGTTAGTTCGACCTCGGATTTATCGAGTCTTCACAAAAGAAGGGTGTTTAAATGTCAGCAATCAGACACACCGGGAGGTTGTTCCGATGTTGAATCACCTGGAAACAGATGTCGTGGTGCTTCCTATGTGGTCTGCGCTTATTGCCTGGGATGCTGGTGCATCTGGAGAAATAATCAGCACACGCGTAGTAATAAGGAGTATGAACGTCGTCAGTTCCTCCCATGGATAGAAAAAAAAAAACCTCTCAGAATGCGTCAAAGTGCCATACGAATCAGTCCATGTTAGTTTGTCCGTTGGGGAGCAGGGCCCGCACATTTAATAGAAGACACAGAACTATACAATACTGTCCGAAATCGGATAGAATCTAGAAAAATGGGAAAAGATAAAATGGATTAAGTGACGAATCTCATGAGTATATGAATATTCTCAGTGGCCTAGCTACAACAGGCTGCAGACATTGTGCCAAGGCTGCGCGATGAGAGTTAAATAACAAGCAAGATACAAAATCTACTTGTAAATAAACTCAGCATAACATTATACGTTAAAAAATCGCACATATATCTATTGAACTCTCAGGATAAAAAATGATCTCCAGAAGAGTCGACTGTTGATGGTGAAAAGCGGGGTAGGTAGGAATGGCCTCTTGGAGGCTTGTCTTCTATGCACGAACCTTGACGAGGCGCGAAGTGTGTCCAGACATGAAGAAAGGAAAATCTCGAAATCTCGAGATAGAAAATTCCGGATATTGACCATACATGCCATCGCACGGAGTGTTGGTAGTAGGTATAGGATAAGTTGGAGGTTCTGCTGTTGATAGATTAATAATAACTTGTTCGATCCAGACGCCAAGCCCTTACGCCACGATTGCGGCTAGAACCGTCGGAGATTCTGAGGCTCCAGACTCCCGGACCATCAGCAAATCGCCTGCTTCCAACCTCCCAACGACACAACCAGGCCTTTGACGACAACAGGTGCTTGGACTTTGAGAGTTGATTTTACTCAGACGATGCCGGGCCTTGTTCTTTCGATGACAAAAAGCATATCATGATCCCGCATCCCTCTCGACCCCCTTATACCACTTCCAAGACAAGAAAGTTCCCCAGTCCCGCGATTTCTAAGGGAACTCAGGGGCCACCGTTTGGAGCTCCCGTTTCCACTGCTACTATTACAATACAGCAATGAGCGACGAGAAATCAAAATACGAATTCCTCCCCATCCCTACCTATGAAGAAGCCACTTCCTCCCGTCCGTCCTCCTCCCAATCTCGCCTCGGCCCAGAAGAAGTCAGTGACGATGCGGAAAGACAAGGCCTCCTCACCAGTGGCTCCGGCCAGCGTGAGGAAACCAGATACCCGGAGAACTATCAGCCTCCAACGGTAGAGTCGGAGCGGTCGAGTCTCGATTTCCTTCCCTCGTCCAATGGTAGTTCAGCGCGTGGTTCGACGGAAGAGTTGCGGCGGGAGTTGGAGCAGATGGATGTGGAAGAGCCCGATGGAAACTCCGGGTCATCGTCTTCATTATCACGTTCTTCGCTTTCAAAACGATTTACACATTTCAGAAGGACGCTATCGTCGATACAGTTGCCGTTATGGAAATACGTGCCCAAGTTCAATTTCGCCAGACCGCAGTTTCTGAGGGATATTGTGTCGCGAGTGGAACATCAACATTGTATTATTATCCTGAGGATGGTTGGATTGTTTATTCTCGTTACGATTATATACTTTCTCGTGGTCTCAGATGTGGTCAGCTTTGCCCGCCCGATAAATATAGGACAGATGTACGATCCGGAATCCGTTCGTATATACGTCCAAAGCCATATCAACGAGACGCACATCGCGGAGAACCTCGAGATGATGACAAAATTCCCCCATGTTGCTGGCACAGAAGGGAATTATGTTTTGGCACAGTGGATTGAGGACAAATTCAAGTCTGCATATATGGATGATGTTACAATGGAACAATTCGATGTGTATCTTAATTATCCCAAGGAAAACGGAAGAAGGGTCGCCATTGTTGATCCACCGGAGCTCGCTTGGGAGGCCAAAATCGAAGAAGAACAATCCTACGGAGGCCCACCCAGAAAGCAATATCCGGTATTTCACGGGCATTCGAAGTCTGGAAACGTCACGGGCCCTCTAATATATGCGAATTATGGTTCGCGAGAAGACTTCAAGGCGTTAGGTGATATGGGTGTCAAACTGGAAGGCTCGATTGTTCTGGTTAGATACTATGGTACACAGGGCGACAGAGCGCTGAAGATAAAAGCAGCGGAACTGGCTGGAGCCGCTGGATGCATCATTTATTCTGACCCTGCCGATGATGGTTTCGTTCTAGGTCCGGAGTGGCCTAAAGGACGGTACATGCCTAGTGATGGGGTACAGCGAGGAGGGGTGAGTATGATGTCTTGGGTAGTTGGTGATGTATTAAGTCCGGGATTTGCGTCATTGCCTGGCGAAAAGAAGAGAATATCTCCAGAAGAGAGTACTGCGCTTCCTAAAATCCCTAGCATCCCCATTGCGTGGCGGGATGCCCAACCTCTCCTGAAAGCACTTCGAGGCCATGGGAAAAAAGTACCCAAGGAATGGGTGGGCGGAGTTCCGAAACTTGAGGAGTGGTGGTCAGGAGACCCATCGTCGCCGAAGGTTAACCTTGTCAACATCCAAGACGAATTGGAGCGCCAGCCGATATTCAATGTTATCGGCAGGATAACCGGAGTCGAACAAAGTGAAAAGAAGATCGTCGTCGGCAGCCATCGCGATGCATGGTGCTTTGGAGCCGCAGACCCAGGAAGCGGAACTGCAGTTCTCCTTGAGGTGGTTAGGGTGTTTGGATTATTACGTTCGCATGGCTGGCGACCTTTGCGAACTATTGAGTTCGCCAGTTGGGATGGGGAGGAGTATAACCTGATCGGGTCCACGGAACACGTGGAAAACGAGCTCGACGAACTCCGCCGCAACGGCTTTGCCTACCTAAATGTCGATGTTGCAGTATCAGGCAACAAATTCCGCGCCGCTGCTTCCCCTCTCTTGGAGCGGGTCCTACTTCGGATCCTCAAACGAACCTCAGACCCAGTTACACACCGAACCCTGTGGTCGCTGTGGGATGAACGGGGTTCCAAACTCGAAGGTCTGGGTGCTGGGAGTGACTATGTTGCCTTCCAAGATATAGCAGGCATGTCGAGCATTGATTTCGGCTTCACTGGTGACCCCTATCCCTATCACAGCTGCTACGACAACTTTGATTGGATGACCAGGGTTGGCGACCCGGGTTTTAAATACCACAAGGTTCTTGGTCAGATCTGGGCTTTACTCCTTCTCGAGCTCGCTGATAACCCAATCCTCCCCTTCGACATACAAACCTACGCTGTTGCCGTTACGAGATATGTCTCTGATCTAGAAGAATACGCCAAATCCAAACATGTACCCTTGTTGGGTGCTCGAGAGGGCACCAGAACAACCAGCAACACTGATAATAAAGTCCCTAATTCCGATTCTAATGTGGTAAACATGCAGCCGCTGCATGATGCTGCAAAGGTCTTCCGTGAAAATGCTGTCAAGTTCCACCGGTGGGGCCATAGCTGGAATGAAACTCTCTCGTCTTCGGGAGGTTATGAAAGCAACGTCATGGCCATTAAGCGGATGAGCCATAATAGCCACATGGCCTATTTCGAAACCAACCTTTTGGATTTGGAAGAGGATGGCGGAGTAAGTTTATAAACCCAGTTTTATGTAAAGATATCAAGAGGCTAACCATTTCTCTTTCCTCTCCACTCTCTAGATCCCCAACCGAACTCAATTTAAACACGTCATCTTCGGACCGCAGGCATGGTCAGGCTACGACGAAGCATTCTTCCCGGCAATCCGAGACGCGCTTGATTCCGGGAATTGGACCGAGTTGCAGAAGTGGATTGATAAAGTGTCCAAGATCATAACCGACGCCAGCATAGCGCTGAATAACTGATACTTGAACGCAAATGCTGTCCACTCAGAAAAAGAAGAAGAAAAAGCGAGAAGAGGGCTGGCTCTCCACCCACCCGGCTTGCGGCAAAGCAATCCTTCCTCTTCCTCCTCCTCCTCCTCCTCCTCCTCTCTCCACATATTGATAGATAGAATATCCCACCACTGGGAGCCAAGCCAGACTCATCCATGGTCATACGCACGTATATTTCCGTTCTCACCGTCCTCAACAAACGAATGGTAAGCTAGCCTCTCGGCCCAACTTAACAACTATCCAAGCATATACACATCCTACTTGTCAGGTACCAACATGCGCCCCTCTCGACTTAACCCCTAGCACATACCTACCTATCTACCTACGTACATACGCACATACACCCACCAAGGCCCTACATTATTCTTTCCTATGTACATGTACATACATGTATTACATATCTATACCTGCGCACATCAACCTGTTTCCTACCTATGCCTTTTTCAATTCTCAATACCTCTTTTTGCCTTTCTGCTTTTGCCTCTTTTCATTATCTGGCTGTTTTCAAGGGGCCGTTTTTTCTCTTCGCTGTTACCTCCATCATCCGTGGATTCCTCTTTTTTTTTTTTTTTTTTTTTTTTTTTTTTTTTTTTTTGGCTGCTAACTACCTCTTTCTAAAGATTTTGATATAATTCCATTTTTGTGTGAAAATATATTATTCTTGCTCATCTAATTATTTATCACTACTTTGTTTCTCCACTTAAATTATAAGAGCTACCCCATTTCTTTCTTCCTTTAATTTTCTGTTCAAGATTCTGAATCTCAGCTTGGATGTGGCTGCTTTCATTTATAAAACACACACCTCATCAAGCCCGGCCCCCCCTTTTTGTTATATACATGTATATAGGATGCAGAGAGCAAGAAACCTTCAAACCCCTACTACCCACTGACTTTCAATGGATATATATCAAAGTTAATAAAAATCATGGATTTATTCTGTACGCTGTTCACATCTAGTTAACTAGTTATGTTGCCATTCTCAAAACATTCCAGAACATGCTTGGTAGAATTGAAGGAAAAGGGGTACAACGACAGGAGAAAAAAAAAAATCCACCATCTGCGGAACCCAGAGGGCATCGTTTAAACTATTCATCACTTATTATTATTCTGATTTGCAACAGCTTGCAATAAAATGAACGAAAGAAAGATTCCCATCCATCGATTGAACTATTTATTATCTATAACTTTTTGTATGTAGCCAATTAATTCATGTGTCTATTATACAATTAAGTCCATCCGGCCAAGTGTTGGTATTATTATTCAACTCGAAAAAGTCCTATCCGTCCATCCGTCCACCCACCTTTCAACGGATAGTTGCATTTCATCCCCTCGAGTCCACAAGCACGTTCAGCAATCATCTTCATCTCCCGGTCCAAGTCCCGCATAAACAAGCATCCACGAGGGCGAATCAAGAAGGACAAATGACATAAAAGCAAAAAGGAAACATAACATAAATAAGCTCAAATCATCTTGGACCCCAGGCCATCACCACAAATTAGACACTGACGAAGATCATATCATTCCAAACCCCCGGTCAGCGGAAAACATCCCATTTTCAAAACATGGCTGGAGTTGCGATTTCTCGGCTTCCGTTACCGCCACGGGTGGATTTTCTCGCGTTTTTCGGGGGTATCATTATTCGCGCAAACATAGAGCGCACCTCAGACTTTGCAATCTGTTGGTATCGCAGGCGGAGAGGGGAAAAAGGAAAACAAAAAAAGGACGGCACAGATATCATAACAGCCACGTTTTCCGGAGGGAAACAAGAAGAAAGAAGAAATACTGTTGAGAAAAACAGGAAAACCAAGTTGTATGCCACTGAATCGATTCTTTCTTTTTTCTGCGTTTTTGTTCCTCTCTGTTTTTCATCCTTCGCCAAATTAACCGGATTTTGGGTTGGGGGTCAGACTTATTTCATTCATCCCCTCAATCCACTCTTTCGAAGCATTTTATCACTTCGGAAATTTCTCAGTATTATTCCTCCCGCCTACTTCTCTCGTAACTCAAGTTTTTTTTTTTCCATAAATCGATGGGTCGAGTTCGCGGGGGACAAATTTCGATCAAGACCATAAATCAATTGATATAGAGGTATCTAGCTGGCAGGGAGGTTTTTCATGTCACCCTTGCCATCCTTGATCCATGCAGGGTCGATCAGCCGTTCTCTCTCAGCATAGAGTTGCTTGTAAGCTCCACGGATTGTCCCGTCGCTGACGTGAGCAACGCTGGAGATCTCTTTGGCGGACTTTCCCTGTCCCATCAGGAAGGACGCCATGTAGATTGAAGCTGCCACGATCGATAGTGGAGATCGACCGGCAAGATCACCCGTGGATGTAACTCGGTCAGCCAACGCAGACGAGACATTGGTGACTTGGAACGGAAGATCGAGCAGATTGCAAAACCGGTTGCAAAGATCGCTGGGTTTCGTGGACGTTGTGGCAGTATATGTCTCGTTGGGATCAGGTACACCTATAATTTCAGAAAGTTAGAATTAGTATTCTTACTCAATAATGTAGGTGAGTTGTGTAGTAGCCTGAGCTTACCCCCACTCGAGACCACAGAATTGATTCGCTCTAAGTTTTGAGCGGTGAAGAATTTCTCAAGAGCCTTGTAGATCCGCCCGATTTCCTTCTTGGTAACGCGCGTCACGGCAAATATCTCTGTGAAGGTTCGGGGAACTTTACACTGCCGACAAGCGATGAAGATGCACCCGGCGATGATCACATCTTGCGACTTGCCCTTGAATGCCTTTGCGTCGTCCACGATCTTAAAAAGATACTTGGCGGTGTCCGCCACATTTTTGGGGATATTAAACCCGTCACAAAGTGCACCTATTTCCTTGTAGGCAGCCATCAAAACCTTGTTGGTCTTTTCACTGGACATTTTATTTTGAGCCCGGTGCAACTCGCGGCTTCGAGAACCACCAGCGCCATATGAGATTTGGGTCTCAAGCTGGTTGCCGTTCAACAACGGATTCGCCGCATCTCCAACACGGGAGGGGTCATCGTTATTCTGGTCATCGTTCGAGAAGGTACGCCATTCTGAGTGTTGATCAATCTCTCTATCTGCCAAGACGAGGCCACAGGTCCCACAGATGGTTTCGTGGGAATCCGGGGTTACGAGATTTGGAGGAGTTTCTCTGCATTCAGGGCAAATCAAGTGAGCCGCGAGGTTTTCTTTCCACAGTGTGGCAGATTCATTTCGAATCCCAGTCCCCAGAACGGTCATTTTCTTTCCCTTGGAAATCTTCTTCCCACCGAGTCGGTCGTTTTGGCGCCTTCTAATAGTTTTATAAGTAACTGTGAGGTTATGCTGCGATGCGTAAACACGTATAAACAACGGCGAATACAGTTTGGCGACTGTAATAGAACAGGGGCGCGATTGCCCAGAGAACTCGAGGAAAGAAGAAGGAGTGGACGAGTGGCAAAATTTATATCCACGTCTTGACGACTGGAATAATGCGTCCACTAATCACTTCATCATCGTGTTAGCTTCATTAACGAATAGTAAGTAGTATCTTTTATTGATGTAGATCCAAGAAATCATAATATTTGCAAGGCAGGCAGAGGTAGATATGAGTGTGGATCTTTCTCTGTTCGACTTCGCGAAAGAAGCAACTTAGATGCAGAACAACCACATAACCCAGAGGGTAGTAAATCTATCTCAGCTTTACCTTTCACGAAACTGATAAGAACTGTTCAAACACACAGAACAGTGCTCAAGCTCGTCCGGCGCAAAGCTCCCGACGCTTCGAGGTGAAGGCTTGGGACGCTCCAGCTGAGGCGGTCGTGGGCTAGCCGGACTTCAGGTAGTCCCCGCGACGCGGAGCGTGAAGAAGGATCAAAATTCACGACAGAGATGTAGACAAGGATTCCAGCTACTAGGTGATGCTGTAGAAACACGTCCAAACCCAGCTGCGATGCAGTGATACTTGTAGCTGATGGATATCCAGCGACAGAGACTCACACGTGGAAGAGTCAGGCGTGGTTGAGAGATGGTTGTCGAGTCTTTGAGCCGTCGATGACTGCGGAAGCTCATTTAGGCAGATGGGATGGAGTGAGGCGAAGAAGATCACATGACCACAACGCTGAGTCAGCACGCGTGCCAAGCCTGCGTCTTCAACCAACAACCCAATCCGGATCTTAACGAGAACCAGCTGGGCAACGACTGATATTCTTTGCCCCGGCGTAGCCACGATAAACAACGTCTTGTCGTCTCCATCCCCCGCATTCGCAATGATGTCTCAATCCCTCAGAGCATCGGTAAGAGCCATTGACCTCCCAATACTACTGCCATTGAGTTTCTTGCTGACTGATCAATCTGCAGCGCTCTCTTCTGGCCCGAACGGCCCGACAACCTCTGACGATCGCTCGTCGCACCTTCATCGCTACCCCAATCAGACAAGGTATATACATATATATATCTCTACATCTAACATGAAAGAGCCCCAGCCTCGGGTACTTTGGACATATATTCAATAACTGACGCGGAAATTTCTCTTACTATCACTACGTAGCCGATATCGTGCAAGATCTATACCTCCGCGAAGTTCGTGCCTACAAGGTCCCACCAAGCAAGCCATCCGACGCCGATGTGCACGTCCAGAAATTCAATGCTCCCAAGCCACCTCCATCGCCAGAGGAGGCCAACCTCGCCGCCGATCTGAAAGCATACGAGACACAGGAGGTTGAGGTGGAAGGTCAAGCGACCAGCGGCGAGACCGCCCCTGTCGAGGAGGACTGGTTTGAAGACGAAGACGAGGCGCCTGCTGCTCACTAAATTAGCCATGTTTGCCGGGAATGGAACAAAAAAGAAAAGGAGCGCCCTTTCCATAGACCTTGTGTATTTGTGTGAATGTACACCGGAAATCTGTAAATCTATACACTTCAAAATATATTTTTTCTTTTTCTTCTTTCCTTCGCCTCCTCTTTTCTATGTGTTTCGTGCTTATCGTTATGTTTTAACTGAACTTGCATATCTTTCTGGCCGAGCTACGTTTCTCATAGATCACGAGGGGGGGGGGGCGGGGGGGGGCTGACATACCCGTGGGCTTTCTGGACCAAGTACTCTGTATATCGACTTCAGTACTAATCTGAAAGGATATTATTCAAATTGGGAACAATACATTACCGGACCCGGCCGCGTATGTGCTTCATCAGGGAACTGCTTATATACAAATGTACAGTAGAGTACATGTACAATATAATATGTTATTAAGGACATACATCCACGGCCCAATACAAGGTAAAATGAGAGAAATAAACTAAGACAACGATCGCTGGCTGCAACCGAAACTACCTCTTCAATGGCGGGCATTTTTGGGCATTCGGCTGAGTGCGGGGGGATATCTGACTGAGGTTGTCTTTTAATATTTAATATAATAATGATAACTAACTAATGACTGCACTAACTAACTCATATTATGACAGCAACGAAAGCACCTAAGCTGAAAACAAGGAAGAAGTCCCATGGAGGAACTAGATTTCCAAGGTTCCGCCTTTTGTGCGTGTCTTTCTTTTCAATAATAAAAGGGCAGCATATTCAAACTGGTTTGTTCTGCAGGCACGGCACTCAGCCACAGAAGAGAGTTCTGGGCCGTGTTGCTTGCTTGCTGGTTGGCAGGTTGACGTGACAACCGCCAGATCCGTAAATAATATTATAGTTACGTCAAGGGAGTAAGTAAGTAGAGTAGGGCTGATGGGAATGCCAGCGCAGTGACTCGTATCTGAATCGCATTTGCTCTCGTTCATCGTTGCTGGTTGGGACAAGGGAAAAACAAGCTACAGCGGTTTTGGGGAAGAGGTAACATTCGGATATTTTATCTATCAGACAAAAATATTTATGTATTGCCAGTGTGTTTTGTGAGAAGCTTTGCTCCGTCCTTGCAATGCTCCAACAATGACGGAAGACCGGCATGGGGGGAAGGTTTGTGAGAATAATAATTATTAAATATAAGACACTGTAAAACCTTGAGTGCAAAGCAACAAGCAACATCCGAACAAGGGTGTAACTAGTATTTATGTAGGAGGTATTTGTACGCTGCGAGTTCACGAACTATGAGCCGAGGGTGAGTGAGGGTATATATACAGCGTAAGGTGCATACTCTTTTTCTTTATGTCCTCGCTTCTTCTAATTTTTCGTATTATATTTTCTTTCCTTGTTCCTTCGAATTCCTTTATTCCGCCCAGGATCGGTCGGTATCCGTGGACGCAACCTCAGCCGCCACAAGCCCACGGCGCAGGTGTGTATTATGTATTATGTATTATTGGTGGCAAAACATGTATGTAAAACCAAGACAACATCCACGCTAAATGATAGATAGGGATAGCATAGAGAAAGACGTGAAGATCGCTTTCTCCGGGGCTGGATGGATGCCCCATTATTATTGTTAACTATTATTGCCTAGAGAGGATTTCGTTAACTAAATGCTAAATCCATCAACCGCTAGTTCGCTGCTAAGTAGGCGGGCGGTGCTTTGGGCTGAGGCTCAAACACGCCAAATGCCCACTCCGTCCGTAGGCCGATGACAAAAAATATCTCTGAGAGTCTTCTTATTATTATTAGTAGTAACTAGTGAATGACTGCGGATGTTCTAGGGCATCCTATAGTTGAACATGGTTAGAAAATCAACCCAGATCATGGCTGGAACCAAGGCTCCATATCAACCCTATCTATTTAATATGCACACACTAAATAGACTTAATTTCTTCACACAACACAATACTAACTATATTTAAAAAAAAAAAAAAAAAATCGAAGTTGTTTTTCAGTTAATCATTCTAGAGAATTAACTACTTTATAATTCTTATCTTTGATACCATACCACTGCATGTGTTGGGCCTTAGAGTGTTTTTGAGATATTGAGACGCTATACTTCCGTAGGTAAGTGTGTATGTATTTTAGATGGGGGGGGGTTGGGGGTTGACGTGGGGATGGATGGATGACATGGCTAGAAATTCAAACTACGCACCCGAATGCTCTGCTTCCAGGGTTTGACTTGGGCGCGGGACTGAACGACAAGCTGTCCCGTCAGCCCGCTTCTACCTCTTCTTCTTCATCTTCATCTTCTTCTTCTTCCTCTTGTTTTCTATTATTTCTTCCTCGTTTCACTTCTCGATTTTCTCGCCGATCGCTTTTCCTTCTTGTGTTTCTTTTTCCTTGTTCCGTCTGCCTCACTTTCTTTATACGCCCGTCTTCCTCCCTATCTACCTTAGGTACCTGTATCTGGGTATCTTCGCCGCAGCAGAGCATTTTGATGCATCTCCGCCGCAGCCCTTTGGCCACTCTCTCATTAAATGCTGCTTGACTGCATAGCCTCCCCCACCCCCCCCCCCGCATGAGAGTTGATCACCCCCATACGGCCACATCTTCCCTGTAAACTTCGAGACCGTGAGTTCGGCGTCACCCTCTTCCGCCTTCCTTGGTTTCACTCTTGAAAGGTGAACTAAAGCCACTATTCTTGTATCATCTTTCCGCTAACTGGCTCCCAATTATTTCTACACCGTTCTTCTATGTAGACTTCCATTTATCTAAGCTGTTCTCTTCTTCTTCTTCTTCTTCTTCTTCTATCCCTGCGCCATTCCGCTCAAACCGCCGTCGTTACTCTTTTCTCCTACAGAGAGAGCGTTTCGAATCGATTCCCCAAAGAGGAAACTCCTCGGGTACCTCGGTACGCCGTGATAAAACTGGTCTCAATCCCACCAATGGTTTTGACTCTACGGGTTTAAACGACTCTTCTCGGCGGAGAGCTGGCCTCTCTCTGATCCCGCTGAGCTCCGCCGGCTTCCATATCTTCCGGAACCTCCTTGATCTTAATACATACTCCTCCTCCGTTCAACCTGGTCTTGTTCTCCTTTGAGAGCATGCCTTCGGCCTCGGAGGTTCAACATGACGCTGCTTCTCCTTTCCCTCGTTCCGCCAGCTATAACCATCTGCCTGCACTGGGTTCCAATGTGAGCCAATCTGATGTAAAGAGGACGTTTTCAGAAACGAATCTACCGCAGTTGTCGGAAAATCCAGTTAGACTGGACCAAGATAGCTTTATGACTGGAAAGAAAGTTCTACGCCAGGCCTCTATCCGCCTAAAAAATGACAGATCAAAGGTAAAGGAGTTTGCCAATTCGAGTTCTGACGGAAACGTGCAAGGCCCAACGAAATCGTCAACTCAGAGGGACACTGACAAGACCTTGTCCATGGAACGGGCCTCCAAATCACGCTCAGTGTCAAGCACAATTGCGACCTTAGCTCGCAAGCCGTGGATATCATCAAGGTCTCCGTCCCCTTCAGCCCCCAGGGAAATAAGGCCGAAGATTACAAAGTCCAATGGTGTAGCTTCTGTCAATTCAATTGGAAATGGCACTGTAGAAAAAGATTCACACACCAAACCACAGGGCCCATATGCACAGCTTCCTGAAAAGTCTCAACGAAGTAGCATTCTGGTTAAAGGTAGTCGGAAATCGATCATCTCTGGAGCCAAACCAAAACTTGAGGATCCTTCTAACTCTCAAAAACGCCCTTCCTTTCCCTCACTACGTGCGAGAGTTTCATTAGACCGACTCTCAGCCTCTCCATCCGGATCGAATGACGATATTCCGCCCGTTACCCAGAAGCGTTCTGGGCAATTGCCCCAACTCAAAGTAGATCCGCCTCGGAAAAAGGACGAGCTTTGGTCTGTCTTTAGAGGCCTCGATGCAGACTACCAAAAGTAAGTCAATATGGGCGAACGCGAACTCCAAAAATAATGTCAGCTAACAAGACCAAAGATTTTGTTCAAAAAATAGTTCTCTCAAGGCCAACGTCCTTCGGTCATCCCTACTTCCATTTCTTTCATCCTACGCCAAACATCCATCCACCCAGTTTCTCCGGCCTGAAGACCTTGATAGGCGGATAAATATCTTAAATAAATGGTGGACGGGACTTCTCGAGATTCTCAATGGGAGAAATAGCCAATCTTTGAGTGGAGTGGATAGACCTGTTTTTCTGGAAGCCATTGTTGGAATTATGACAAGACCGGAATGGCGTATTCCAACCTTGCATGATTCGCCGTCACCTTCTACGCCTACTGCACCCCACGTTCCAGCCCCAATTTCCAGGTCCAACACATCCCTTGAATCAACCGGGACGGATTTTCTCATCGAATCAATACACCACAACATCCGGAATATCTTCGCTCAAAATCTCCTATCACAAATCGGCTATTGTATTGATAAATTGTCAATGAGGCAAACTCCAGCTAGTCTTGTAACGTTTGCTGGTAAGACATGCGCTTATGCATTCTTCTTTTGCCCTGGTGTTGCGGACATTCTCGTGCGACTGTGGAACACCACCCCCGATACTCTCCGAAGGGTTTTGATTGGATTCAACGTGGACTGGAGCGCTAAAGCCAACCTTGAAGCTTCTGACTACATCTCATCGTACTTCCCTGTGGCTCTGCGATCTTTATGTTTCAGGTCTCATTCCAGTCTTGTCCGCTGTCTTCGACAGAAAACGCAACCTCCCTTAGGTGCGACCAACGTTAATTGGTCAGGGCCATGGGTTTCACGTTGGTCAGGGAGAGATACCGATCTTTTCTTCGTTTTTGCCAAGCATTTCCACATATTGGTTGCGGGAATTTTACCCCTTGGATGCGAAAGATCGAAATATGTCTTTGTTCCAGGACTTCTTTCGGTTCATGCGCAGATAATGACTGTTTTGGAACATACTGTCAACAAACAGTCAACTGCTTCAGTGGTGGATAATATTCATGCACCAACATCAACGACATTCGAAGATTTCATCGATGGTACGGATGCTTCTGCTTCCGCCATACCCTTGGGAACGGCGAATTCGCTGCGCGTCATGTCCGAAAATCGTCTCATTCTATTGCTAAAGGACATCGTCACAGATCGGTCCCTTGACCTGTCTATAAAGCAAATGTTTGTGGAAAATTTTTGCGCAATCCTGAAGGTCGCGACGAAGAAAATTTCTCTCTTCGATCATAACGGATGCTTTGTATTGTTCGACTTCGTAGAGGAGCTCGTTTCGGTAATTCCGCCTTATTGTGAATCAACACAGCAACCGGACTTACTAGACTGGAACTTTTGGCTAGATGTCTGCAAGCAAATGATGAAAAGTAATAACTCCCTCACAGAAGTGAGGGTTTTCTCTTTCATTTACGCTGCCTGGGACGAGATAAACCGGGTGGATGAGCTCAGAGAAGCGTTGTGCGTGGGAATACTTTTGAACGAAACCTATTTCTATAGGTACTTCAATCATTGGAGCCCAATGGTTCGCGCGTATTTCCACAGGCTGTTATGCTGGCGGCTGGCCCGATGTGAAGGAAAGCCCTCTGCGCTGGATTTGTGAGTACCAACAATTGAAAATTCCCAAATTAATGGGCCAGTGACTAATATAACTTGCACCCTCCAGGCGTATATACAATCTTCTATTGGACAGGCTTTCTGGAATCTGGAGCTACTTCCTTTTTCGCCAGTCAAAGGCTGAGAGAGAATTGACCCCGCTGTTGTCGACTGCACCTTGTAGTCCAGCGCCTGGGCGCCGAATCCTTATCATCAGGAATGACTACCAGCCCGCCTCCTCCTTATTTGTCTGCTTGGACAACATTATCCCACCATCAACTTCTTCCAGTCAGCCATCAGCGTACAAAAGCCACGGATCGCTACCAGACATCGAGCCCAATCATTCCCGTTCCGAGTCTCCCTCATCGTCTAGTAAAAAGCGATGGAGGTCACTAAAAACCATATTCACGAGCTCCTCCAACTTGAAACCAGGGGAGGTAACGCCAACGAAGAGTACCCATGACGAAAGCGAACACAGTACGAGCGACTCAAACCCCAGGGGAGGGCCATTGGAACACGAATCCCGACTATTTCCGTCGAAGAATCAGCCAAAATACACCTTCAGGTTCTCACTACAGTGGAACGATCGTGTCAGATGGCCATCCAAGGACAGACGCCTGTTCCCACCTGCCCTCCCGCTCCCTACCCAACTTTTCCTCCAGTCACTTCGAACGAATGACACCAAACAAACCGACTCAGCCGATGGCTCCCTCTCTAACTCCCTCTCCGGAACCGACTCCGACGACGGCTCAGACAGCGAAGGCGCCGAGATAAACTCCATCTCAATAACAACAACCGCAACCACAACAACCACTGCAGCTTCTAGCCTTGCCAACCCTTCAAATATCGGCCTCGCCACCCCCCCTGGGGCTCCCGTGCTCACACCCTCTCCCGCTCCAAAACCTAACCTCACCGTTTTCACCGCCTTCGAATCCCACACAGACGCGGGCGGAGGATATCAATACCAATATCACCCGCTCGTAGCGAGTAAATATCCCGGTCGCGCGCTGGCGGAGTGGGCATTGGTTGTTTGCGAGTGTGATAATTTCTTCGCACGACGACGCGATGAGGGTGTTCCGACCGCCGATGAGGGGGAGATCCCGATTTTGGGCGTCGAGAGTTTCCGGAAATGATATCTATTCATATATATATAACGATGGGCTTCTGTCTGCCTTCCCCCCCCCCCCCCCCCTCTCTCCCCTTTTTATTTCTCGTTGTATCTCCTATGGACACTCTCTTAACCCCCCTTGCTACGAAGGGGTACGCCGCCATTGTACAGTACCAGGATCTGGACATAGGTATATATATATACACTTTTCTTTTCTCTGTTACCTGCTTATTTTATATCAGGTTGGTGATAGCATATCGGTGGATTCATCACGAATATGCCGGAAAGCGACGCTTCACTCTTCCTAAATTCGCCGCCTTACCTATTTCTTTCTTATCAAAAGAAACCTCCGTCCTAGTTCTTTTCTTCCTTTCCTTTTTGGTGGGGAGGCATTTCTTTTTTGGGTGCCTCTGTTCTGCACCTGCAGTTTTATTTCCTTTTGTTCCTAGGTAAGGCAAGGCAAGGCACGGTCGTGGCGTGGCATGGCGTGCGTGGCGTCTTTAAATTTTTGTGTGCTTGCTTCGTTTCCCTTTTGAAATCATTAACTTCTTTCCTTTTTTTGGTCGTTCTCCCAAGGATGGCGGTTCAACAGGTTGGTTGGGTGGTTTGTTGGAGCTTGTATGCATGCATTGATTAGAATTGTTTTTGCTCTTATTGCTTCGATTACGATTCGTTTCGTTTCCATTATCATCCACCCATTAATTATCGTTCCTGATCATCATGTACGTGCGTTTAGTTCGTGTGTTTGTGTGTTTGTGTGTGGGGGTTGTGTGTATGTGTGTTCGATTTTCATAATAAATGCGTTGCATCACATTTTTTGGAATTCAATTGCGACTCGCTTCAAATCTAGTTCTCTTTTTTGAAATCAGTTTTGTTTTTATCTCTTCCTACCCCTCCCTCCCTCCCTCCCGTGGGTTTCTACGTCACGGACATACATACATAACCCTCCCACATTTGTCCTCTCCCCTCTCCCTCTCTCTCTTCCCCAGCTGAGAATAACAATCGCGGAACTGACCTTTCTTTCTTTCGTCTCGTTTCTATTCATTTTACTCAGATATATTAGATATATCTGCATCGGTACATATGTGTGTGTACATACATGTACATAAGTTCTCCGGGCTACTCTCACCCGGATGGAAATAGCTATCTCGTCCGGGTTTTACCAGGATAGTTAACTATAATATATAGTAGGTTAACTAGTTTACTATTTACTACTAGCTAACTTAAACCTTCCAAACATCAAAACCCAAAATCCAAAACACGGCCAGTTTAAAGCTATTCAACCACGATGAAACGATTTCATACAGCACATTTCTTATGAAAGGACCGGAGCTGTGCATCGCTTAAGAGTTGCGGTGGGAATGGAGGGAAAAAGGAAAAGGGGCGAGAGAGAGACAAGAGAGACAGAGGACACGGATGCCTAAAGTTCACTATACAACTGCTTCGACTTAACTACCTATCGTAAATCCAAACGGAGATATATGTATAGGCTTTCTGACAGCGTAAAATAGTGATGGTGGGAGGAAAGGAGTTTATTTTACTATCTTCAAAAAGAAATTGGTGGCTAAGGTAACTTGTTTCCAACCAAGTTTGCCCCCGTTTTATTATTTTATTTTATCCAAGTGGTGGGCTATTTTTAACATATTAACGTGTTGTAAGTTAAGGGAAGCAGGAGGGAAGTAAGGGAGAGAGGAAGACTGGAAACTAGAAGCGGGTCAAGAAAGATAAATAAATGGTTTGGATGTAAGAGAAAAAACGTAAGTTAATGAATACAATTAATTATTGAGCAAAAAGTAAATTGTGTGCAAAATGACATGGTTTCTAGAGAATCAGGAGATTTCCCAACATTTATTTCCAGTTATTTTTCCTTGCTTTAGAAGAGAAGTGTTATGTGCATTCGAGTCAGCTGTCAATAAGCGAGGAGACAAGACAAGTTGGGGGAGAAAAGGGGGTGGAGAAAATAACGAGAAAAGGGAAAATGATCTGTTCATAAATGAAAACACTCATCCCATCTCCCAATCCACACCAATCCAACCAACCCACCTACCTTTACTACGAACTAGTACCAGCAGAGTCTGAAGTTCCCGAAGCACTTTTCTCTAGCGGTTCAGTCGGTGCGGAAGTTTGCTCAACAACATCTGCATCATCTAGTGCCGGCGAACCGGACTTTTCCTGACCAGGCTCAGCCACAAGGGGGGTCTCATCGCCAGGTTCTACCTCAGCTTCGACCAGTGGTTCTTGTTGCGGTGGTTCTGCCTCTAAACCATTACCGTCACCGTCACCATCACCATCACCATCACCATCACCATCATCGTGGCTTGACGTGGATGGGGTGGGTTCTGGATTTCGTGATGGTGACGACGAGCTCGTCGCTGTCGAGTCGCGGGCAACGGGAGCAGGTTCATCGGATTCTTTCGTCGGCGCGGGTTTCGATGTCGTCTCGGGGGAAGAGCCCGCATCTATATCTATGTTCGTATCGGGAGCTTGGGGTACAGTGGGAGTGGCAGTAGTGGCAGTAGTAGAAGAGGGGGAACCCGCCTGTTCCGAAAGCGCGCTAGGTTGTGACTCGGGAATTGTGGTAGTAGGTAAATCTGGTGGTGATGCAGATCTAGCCTTGGCGGGGGAGGTGTCGCCTACAACGAGAACCCCATCTCCCCCGATCCGCCATACATTCCATGCATTCACGACTTTGATCTTGGGGGGAGCTGGAGCTGGCTTTCTGACGGGTTCTGCAGGGGTTACTGCAACTGGAACAGCGGGTTTTCTTCTCGCTGGACCCCTCGCTCGACCCTTTCTAGCATCGCTCAAAGGCACCTTTTCAACAGTTTCTTCGGGCTCGGGCTTCTTTTCTTGAGGTTTAGGGCCTTGCGGTCCCAACTTCAGATGACCCTCCAATTGTGAAAGAAATCCGGCCTTCAGAGCAGCGATTTTGGACCCACCAGGTCGAGTGGGAATAGGAGGTTTTGGCTTTACGAATGGCGGTGCTGCCAGAGCATCAGGAGAGCCAGCAGATACGGTTGTTGTTATGCTCTCGTCAGAATTGTGTGATGACGGTTTTGCTGGTCGTGCAGGGGGCTTAGGTTTTGGACGGCTAGGGATTGTAGGCGGTTTTCTAGACTCAGCTGGGCTTGGGGCTTTTCCCTCTACGGGGCTTATCGATTTTGAAGGTCGCGCAGGAATGGTGGGTGCAGGTTTCGTTGGGCTTTCAGGGGAAGTCGACTTCTCTCCCTCCTGAGGCGTCTGAACAGTAGTTACAAGCCGCTGACTGTCAGGAACATCCTCCCAAACATCTTTACTCGGGAACCGCTGTCTGGATTCCGCCCTAGGCGGCTTTTCATCCTCAAGATGACTCTGAAGCTCCTTTAACGGGGAACTGGGCTTTGAAGACGTTGTTCGCTTGTTCTGCAAAGCTTCCTCCTCTGAAGGCTCTAACGGGGACTTCTCGTTATCGCTAGACTTACTTGGGACATCGGGCGTTGTGACTGTAGCCTCCAGTTGTAAACTGTCCGGAGCATCTTCCCAAATATCCTTGCTAGGAAATCGATGTTGCTCAGAACGACGTTTAAATCGCTCTGCAGGTGTAACTATTTCGTCTCTTCGTCATCGTCTGGAACAGTGTTCGTACTCTTTAACGTCTTCGAGTTCGTATGGATTTCCTCACGTCCCCGCTGCGGGACAAGCTCGTCAATGTTGAACAGTACCTTGAGTACTGGAGGTCTGGCTACTTGCGCGATTTCTGTACGGCTATTTGATCGACTGTGGGCGTTCACACCGGGAGAGCCGAGCTCGAAAGCGGGCGAGATCGCAGGTTGTAAATGCTCTGCACGTGGTTCAATTTCATCCGCTGCGAGGACGGGTGCTTCATTTGGGTTTTCATCAGCCCAACCAGGCTCCTCCAATGGCTGGGCGCCATGTGGTTTGTGATCCTCTGGTGCGGGGGCAAAGCCATCGGGGTGGTGTTGGCTATGAAGCGGCTCATCAATATGGATTACCTCCTCCTTCTCATGAGTGTCTGTTTCCGAAACACTATGTTCAGTATCTGCTGCGCCAGCAACAACAGATTCCTTTATGGGGGCTTCTACTAGGCCCTGCGACTGGAGATACTCACCTTTAGACAAGCGAGACTCAGGAGCTGCAGATGCAAGCCGAGAAGCAAGTTCGTCAGTCGCAACGTATGCCAGCTCTTCTTGCGGTGTGCCTACAACGTTCGCATGAGTTGCTGTAAAGAATTAGAATCATTCCCAGCAGAAAAAGTGCGTATAGTTCTTGTAATTTAAGCATGATCTCACCCAAACCAACCCCTGTACTTGCAGATCTCCTCACGATTTTATTTAAATCATCGCTGCTTAAGGCGCATTCCGGTCGCTCATGGCCCAGGCCCGGTCCATACTGGGACTGCTCCTCGCGTGCCAGTTCATCAGGGTGCTTGTCAAACCACGCCTTCTCAAACCTGTCGCTTGGTTGTACTCCGTGGCCGCGAAGCCCATAGCTACCCGGTGGAAGGGAAGCTTCCCGACCACTTTTAGTACGCTGATGGTTGCGCCCATGCCGCTGTTGTCCACCTTCATTGCCAAGTTCACCAAATTGAGATGGCGACGGCGCTTGCACGTCGCCTGCATTAGGATCCATAGGCACGCGCTGGCCAATTTCAGGAATGCCTCCTTCCTCTCCATACTGTATGGATGTCCGACGATTTGTTGAAGAAGTAGAAGATCCCTGCCGAGACCCGTCGGTTTCCATATGGCTGGGCCTCGAGCGCTCCGCACCACCGTAGTCAGGAGAGGATACAACATTCCCAATGCCTGCAGCGGCAGCCTGTTGCGAATCTGTTCGGGTAACGGCCCGCACCTGCGCTTCAGCGCTGGAACTTGGTAACGATGGCTTTGGAGCGTGAAGATGTAGGTCGCGATTCACATTCCGTGTTTCCATAGGAGGGTCGTGACTTTTCTCCCTGTTATCCGCGCTTGAATTCTGGTATTCTAGACCTTCATACTCCATCCCTTCCTGGCCAACCGAGGGTAGGGTAACACTAGGCGGGCGAGCGGGAGTATTAGAGGCATCGTTTGAGTGTCGGCGTCTCGTACCCGACCCAGCTGGCAACTCGTTTAATGGTGACGGGGCGTAGCTATCGCAATTGGGAGAGGCAGAGCGGTCAATGCGGCGATTGTTCGGGCGAGCAGGCACTTTTGGCATCTCGGGGTTTGGAGGTGATCGAGGATTGGGAGCCCGCGACGGCCGGGGAGGAACTACAGGAAATGGCTTCGTAGACATCGCTTCGGTTGGGAATTGTGAACAGTCAAATGGAATGGAAAGGAACGGAACTGCTGATTGTGATTAGGTTTTAATTAGTTTCTCTGCTGTGTTTGGGCGAACAGTCAAGGCACCATAGCAAATCCGGATCTCCTCGATAGGGGAAACAAAACAAATGAGGAACTCGATGTTTTCTCTACCCCAAACTGAAGCTTTTCTCTTTTAGTATTTATTTGATTTGCCTAATTCCTTTAAAAAAGAAAGTTTTTCTCCCGCTGATTCCGTTCTTCTTCCCGCGACGCCATTTTCAGTTTATTTCCTTGTCTCGTTGTCTTTAGGGTAGCTGATACGAGGATCTCTGTTTCCTAGCAAACGGTGCTGTGTACGCATTGCTTACCTTTATTAGTCTATTGGCTGGATTCCTTTCTTTATCAGCATAAGTATAAGCTAAGCAAGGGATTGGCCTCCTAGAGGAACAAGTATCTAGGAGTCGGATAGTAGAGAGAGCTTAAACGGTCGAGGTGCAAGAGAATGAGCAACGAATCAGATCCAAACGTCCCAGAACAGGAATATTGGTTTCACAAAATGAGATATATTTCCCTCTTCTTGATAGTTGGAAGGCATGTAGAAATTTAAAAAGGGAAAATCGGGATTGAGACTCTGTTTAGGAGTTGTTCAGGAGAATGAAAGATGGGGATGACGATTGCAGGAGGTTTGAGCGTTGTCTTAGCTTAAGCGTTTGTTTCTGCCACAGCCAAGTTATTAATATACCCACCTCCAATATGACGTGCCTGGTCACGCTGTACCGGGAAGCTTCGGCTTGCATGTGGCCATCCACCATTGGCTGTAATTTAAAGCTGTAACGTGGTATTATTGGTATGTTGGGTCGTGTGCCGATCTGCGATTTGTCGTCGTGTTTGCAGAGGTTATCTTGATGGTAAACGTTGACGGTTGCGGCTCCCTTGGCTTGGTATAGTATAGTTCTAGTAGCGGCTGGGCGAGGGCCTGATTGATTAATGGCTTTGAAATTATTCCATTCTGCCCAGCACACATTGCATTGAGCACGCCAGCAGATAGGAAGATTATCTCCAAGAGCTATCTACAGGAGCGTCGTGGTCGCGGTAGTTATACGAGTTGAAACACAAAAAGCTCACGCGGTTCCATGGTGGTCACTTGAAACCCTTGGTAAAATGTTTTTGTAGCACACGAGCCTTGGTGTGCTAATTATTGCAGAGCTAGTCTGCATTAGGAAACAGTGATTCTACTGGTGGACTGCAATATAGTAGAATTGAATATTTTCATCATCATCATCATCATCCTCCCCTGTAAATCATTAATTTGATTACTTCATAGTAACTAATTTTTTTAAAAAACAATATCTGCACTGTGGTTCAGAAGAACGTACGACCATCGGATAATAACACGGCCGCTTCCGAACTTGCTTATGAATGTAAAGGGGCCATAGCGGCCACCAATTAATTTAGTGTACAATATATAAGAAGCTGGTGTACACCTGTAATCATACACTGGCTCAAGAAACCTTTGAATGATATCTGATAGCATGTCTAAAAACTGGTGTGAACTGCAGGCTTCTTCAGAACATGATAATTCCATCTATAAAGTAATTTATAGTTATCATGTCAGAGTGATTCTAGAATGTCTTAAAAGATAGTATATAATAAGTGATGAGTGAAAGAGTATTCAATTAATACTGCTTCACTTATTAAGAAAAAACTTCACATTCAGACAAAGTATGATACACAAACAGATAAGATGTGAGAAAGAAAATAAAAGCAGTGAATTAGATTCAAAGAAGTTCACTTTCTACTTAAAAGAAGAATAAAAAGAAGAGAGAGTGATTATCATCAGAGTTGTATAATAATAACAGAAATTATATAATAAGATAGTGATATAATAATAGACATTATATAATTAATAAGAAATCACTGAAATAAATATCTCTTCTAGTTAATATAAATAATACTCTTCTCTACTATCTGAACTGAAAGATATACAGAATCTCTCAGAGAGTTTACTTAAAATAGTAAGAAAAGTAACTGAAATTATTAAACTGAAATTGAAGCTCTGTATATATATAAGAATTCTAAATGAAATTGAGATCTTGTATATACAGTAATAGACTGAGATAGAAACTAAATAATAATTAATATTTATTATAAATTAAGTATTCACTATGAAGAGCTTTGCTGATACAATTATTATTATTAATAAGAATAGAGAAAATCAGGTCTTAAATCTGTAGCAGAAGATTAAATATTTATATAGATAGATAACTATACTGAATCTGAAAATCTTATTACAATTATTTACAATCTCTTCAGAAGTATATATATTATCAGAGACTGCTGTGCAGAATGAGAATCTGAGTATAAAATATATTAAGCTAAGAGATCTGTTAGAGTTATTAAGCTTTAATAGTAACTGAAAAAATAATACTGTAATTAGCTAACTAAGTTAGATATAATTATATTATCAGATTAAATATAAACTTATAGATAGATAGTTAACAGAATTTTAATAAGTTTTAAAATTTACTGTATTTCTATATAAAAAAGTAAAGTTATTATAAATAACTGATAAAAAAATAAATCTCACAGACTTAAAATAATATTTATTCTCATGAATATAAAATGAGTTTTTCAAATAAATCTTATACAACTTTGAGAAAGTGAATATATAAGATAAATATTATAAATACTTCACTGAGTGTAAATAAGTGAGTAATTTTATATCATACTTTATATACTTCAGTTTATACTATCTTATATTGAATGAAGAGCTTTTAATATCTTTCTATTTATAGATCTTTATTCATAATCTTATATATCATGCTCCCGGCCGCGTCAAGGCCCTGTTGCGGTTTCACACGGCTTATCAATCTTATGTGAATAATTTCATTCTGTCTGAACTAGTTTTCAATCACTCTATGACATTATTTGAATATATCATAGAAAGATCTGATTGATGAATATAAGAACCTCACTTCTATATAAGGTCAGCAGATTACTCTTTCTTGATAATAAGACACTACTGAGATATCACTTCAGCTATTCTCACTCATGAAATGAGAGAAGAGTATTCATTCATTATCTATATAGAATAGCTAGATACTGACCTCTTATTAAAGAAGTCAGTGATTCATTTTTCTTCTACTGAAATATATATAAGAGTTACTGTATATTTCATATAATCTTCTTAGTATACTAAGTATTATATCTGTAATATTCTTACAATAACTCTGTAGTCTACAAGCTCACTATTCAAGCAAGATAATCAAGCTCACTTATACAGCTTCTTAAATAACTATCTCTATATAACACTGCTGACTAGTCACTGCTTTAATTTCATTATGTTATAATTTAAATTACTTGATCTGATTATAAGTTTGAATCAGTCAAGCTTTAACAGACTGATATAATCTTATATACTCACACTGAGACTGATCTGATCTCACTCTCTGAGAGAAATACTACATCATTTTCTAGAGTGTGTACATCTCTATCTCAGCAGAAATCTGAGATTTCTGAAATTACTGTATATTTTAATATAAGCTTTTTAATCACTCTGTCACTGCTGCGGCTTCTACACACCTACATCTATTATAAAGATAGAGAGATTAAGATCAAAGATTCTCTGAGATATAAGAGAAATATCTTGTCTGAATTTCACAGCTTTATCTGTACTCTTAAATGAAAATTCTGCCTTAATCTGAGCCAGTATAATACTCACAAGATATGAGTAATATACACTGTCAATCTTCTTAAAAGCATCTCTGCAACTACTTGAGTTATTAAGAAGAGAGAGCTTGAGTATATCAATACTGTTATGACTTAGAAAGAATTCAAGAACTTTCTACTGAATCAAATCAAAGATCACTATAACTGTGACTTCATAGTAATACAGTAGTTTAACTTATTATATTAATAAGATAATGAGAATTCTTTCAATTTCAATATAAGATTTAAAGAATATTGAGAGAAATTAACTGATGATTTGAATTAATTAAAAACACAGCTTTATCTCATGAAGCTGACTTATAAGATGCAGATAATAATATTATAATATCAGAGTTTATTAATCAATTACACTGAGCTTATCAATCTAACTTTCTGAATCTATTTAAATAGTTAATTCTCTGAGAAAAAGATTAATAAGATCTCTTCTAAGTAATTAATAATAGAATCTAAATAATACTGTGATGACTTTAGTGTAGAGAAAGTAAAGAAGAATTTCAAGTATTCTGACTCTTCACTCACTATGAAGAAATGTTAAAAAAGATTTGATAAGAATCTCTGTTTCAACTGTAAAGCTGATAATCACTATATCAGTGATTGTAAGAAGCTGAAGAAAAGAAGAAACTGAGAAGATATCTTTTCAAAGTTAACTTCTCTTCTGATAAATATATTCATAGAAGATAAAGAAGAGAAAGAAATGAAGAATTGATAATTCTTATATCTCTGAGTTCATGTTATAATCATAATATATATCTTAAATAAGAAGATATCAGTGAGATATCTACTTGACTCTGAAATGAATATTAACTTCATATTCTATTTCTTTTCTTTAATAAAGAGTTGAAAGAAGATAGATCTGTCAGATTATATGAAATTTACTGATGAAATAAAATATCACTATTTTAACATAATTCAAGTGAAGTATATAATCACAGACTCAGAAGAAATCTTCAAGAAGAGCAGTCTGCTTCTTTATACAGTTAATATTATAGATGAGAATATTATTCTAGATCTTTTATAATTGAGAGAAAACAATTCTCTCATTAACTGAGTTACTTAGATGTGATGATACTGTCTTACTAATGAAGAGACAGTGATAGAGAAATCTGAAGAGTTTCATTGAAAGAATCTTGAGAAAAAGATAGAGTTAATATACTGTATAGCAGATAATTAAAACTTGAGAATAGATGAAGAAGTTATCACTCTCACTATAGAATTAGCAGCAGTATCTGTTATTAAAGACAGATATACACAATATCTCTTTACAGATTATAAGAATATCTTTTTGAAAAGAGAAGCAGTGAAGTTTTCTGACACTAAGATATGATATAAAATTCATCTTGAAGACAGTGTAATAACACTGTATGAGTCTCTCTATAACTTATTTATAAAGAAATTGAATGTTCTGTGTAAATATCTTAAAGAAGTATAATTAAAGAACTGAATATACTTATTAAAGAGTTCAGCAGAGACATCTATACTCTTTGTACTCAAGAAGAATGATAGACTATACTTATGTGTAGACTACAGAGGTCTTAATAAGATAACAGTTAAGAATTACTATTCATTATTATTAATTGATAAGATAATTGATTGATTATCTGAAGTAAAGATATTCTCAAAGATTGATATATAAGATATCTATCACAGAATCAGAGTTAATAAAGATAATGTTTAAAAAATGACTTTTCATATCAAGTA